ATTCAGTACGTCCGCCTCTGTGGTCTAGTGGTCAGAGTTCCTGCCTACAGACCCAGATGTCCGGGTTCGATTCCCAGCGCTACCAGATTTTCTAAGGAGTAGTAGCTCTGGAACGGGGTCCACTCAGCCTCATGAGGATAATTAAGGAGCTATTTCAAGGAAACAGCGGCTTCGGTCTAGCAAACCGAGATTAACGGCATTGGGGATTCGTTGCGCTGACCACGTGACACTATCTATTAGCTAAAGTTTGCAAGCGGCGGTCGCTCGGTCGGTATAGTTCGCTTGCGGACTAAACCCACGGAGTTTTTTGTTTACATTCAGTATGTTGCTAAATCAGATATTAGGCGCTCTGTATGCACCGCGTAAGCCCGCTTAACATTTGAGCCGATTTACACGTAGGCTTTATTTAAATTCGCCAGGTAAATATAATATTTCAGGTGCCTTGAGCACAGTACATACGCCATATCTGAAAGGTTGCAAGGATTCCGTTTGAGTTTCAACAAGGGAACTGACTATCATGAGCCTTTTCATGAAAGAAAACAGAAAGAAAGGAGGAAAAAGGAAATTAATAAGTTCTTAGAAGAACTAATCGAACTGGGATAGCGCAGTCGGTATAGCGACTGGCTACGAGTTGGACGACTGAGGGGTCAGAGTTTGAATTCCGGTAGGGTCAAGAATTTTCTTTCCTCCAAGTCGTTCAGAGCGCCCACCCAACCTCCTATCCAATGAGTACCGGGGGCTCTTCCCTCGGGGGCAAAGTGGCCGAGGCATGAAGCTCACCACTCACCTTCAACTAGTGCCGAAGTCAAGAAACGTATTCATGGCGTAGTGCTTAATTAGTTAAGTATAGGGACAACTTTGCATTTTAGAGAAGAAATCATCACCGTAAGTAAAAGTAAGTAAAGTTATCCCTGTAACAGGCCATTGAGGCCCATAGGGATGTAAAACGTTGAGGCTGCCATATTTTCTAGACGGTCGGCTCATAGATGACGGTGAGATTGTGAGTCTTTACGCGCCGACCGCCTTTATCCCCAGGAAGACAGTTGGTACTGATTTCTGTTAGGCGTTGAGTCGAACCCACGGCCACTGTGCGGCTGGAAGGATTAGGTGAATTGAAAAATCCAATGACCTCATCGGGAATCGAATCCGCGGCCATCCGACTTGTAGCATAGTGCCCCAACCAACTGCGCTACCTTGGTCCCCAGAACTAATCACGTGCTTTTCTCTAACTACATGCTGAATAATGTTATATTTTAGCGTCCTGTTGCACTGATTCACGTTCATGATATGTATTTGTATCAACCGTCTTACAGTGCACACAGTTTCACTGTTCTCCTCACTACATGTTTCGGCACTAATGTGCCATCTTCAGGTGTGATTTTATTTACGTCAAACCATTGCACTGTATGACATCGTGTCTCCTATATAAAATGATTAAAATGTATATGTGTCATGATAATAAAGTTTATATATTAAAACTTTTCAAGATTTATCATCTATATGTCGTACTTCAAATTCGCGAGTTATGTCGATCCTCTCCTATGGGAGTACTCTCCCTATATTCTTGTATATATTGTGTGCTGTGTTGTGTCCTTCCCTTGTGATTGCGTGTGTTGTAGTGAGGAGAAAAGTGAAATTGTGTGCACTGTAAGACGGTTGATAAAAATTCACATCATGTACATACTGAATATTTGATACGACACTGGCCGCATAGAAAACACCTCGTCCAACAGTTCTTTTATTGCTGGGTGTGTATTAGTTGCAGCGAGAACGTGTTTACCGAGCCATTGCCTAGAAACGGCCGTCTCTTCTGGCTCTATTTTTCCGGCTTTTTTGGGGGGGGGAACGCACACAGACTCACAGCAAGGTGATCTCATAAGCCTCCTTTTATTTTTTTTCCAAAACAAGGAAAGTAGGCTACGTAAAGATATCTCCGGTCGACATAATACATTTAAATAGGCTATGGCTGCTTTTTCCCTAATCCAATTTCAACATACATAGTTAGCCTGGAATCAAATTTGATGCTAATAACCGCGAAACAGTCAATTATCGAAGAGGATTGTGCGGTATTCTCGTTCGGACTGGGAATAAGATAGGCTCGTGAGGCTCGTGAGGCTAGTGAACCAGATTTTCTGCCCTGAAGACTACAAGGACTGTACAGTATGACGACTCGTCTCATGCTCCTCCTAGCTGATTGAGGCGTGTTTTAGTTGGGGAAGCCTACCTATCTGCTAGTGTTCCCAGATACCCCGTTTTCCACGGATTCTTCCGTTTTTTCACCCAAATTTTGTTCCTCCGTTTATTGTTTACCCGGAGTGGATAACTCTCCGTTTTTTTTACTTAAGTCCATTGCGAATTATATTTCATGGGTTAAATATTATCATAAAATTTCTGTAATACTTGGAAAATGACATTGTTATAGTTTCTTTCGTTATGTTGCATTTCGTGGATGTTGGCAACACTTGAGGTTCTAAATCAAAGCGGAGGTTGCTGGTGATCGTTGGTGATAGTTTATTTTTAACCCGTTCAATCTTCGTTAGGAAGGTTAGGAGGTTAGGAAGGCAGTGTCGTTAGCGGTCGTCAGTGTCAAGTTAGCAAAAATGTTTGAGGGCGAAGAAAGTCCATCAAAGACTCCTCCACGGAAGAAGTTGAAATTCCAGGCCAAACATAATCAAATATATCTTAAGAAATGGGGAGATATGTTTTCGTTGGTTAAGCCGGGACCAGACGAGAACCGGGCATTTTGTACGTTGTGTAGGAAGGATTTTAGTATTTCGCACGGTGGACAAAGTGACCTGAGGCAACATGCACAATACAAGGGACATAAAATTAAGGAAAAATGTAATTCTGGAAGTTCAAATAAACTTTCGAAATACTTTGCTAATTTAAACAACAATGAAGAATATGACAACAGCACCGCGGTAGAACTTGGTTTAGTGTATCATGCAGTGAAACACAACTTAAGTTATTCCAGTCTGGACTGCGGAAATAAACTTGTGTCCCATATTTTCAGTGATCCCGCGATGGCTTCCAAACTTTCATGTGGACGCACTAAAGTGGAAATGATAGTGAAGTACGTTCTTGCTCCTAAAAGTGTAAATGACTTTGTGGCTGTTTTAAGATGTCCAGAAAATACTTCAAAATTTTTTTCGTTGGCTACCAATGCATCAAACAGAAGCAATCGAAAAATGTTCCCTGTTTGCATCCGGTACTTTGACCCGTTAAAGGGAGTGCAGAATAAACTTCTAGATTTCGTTGAAAGTGCTGAGGAAACGTCTATGGCAATTACAGGTTTGGTGCTGCAGAGCTTGGAAAAGCACAACTTGGATGTAAATACTGTGTCTTCTTATTGTGCAGACACTGCCAATGCAAACTATGGAAAAACACATTCCTTATATCAGTTGCTGCGGAGTAAAAACCCAAATTTACTGAAAGCTAATTGCTCTAATCATATCATACATAACACAATTAAGTTTGTAATTGACAGATTAGATGTTGATGTTGAAACTGTAGTCTTAAAGATATGTAATCACTTCTCTGTCTCTGCCAAAAGAAGAGAAGAGTTAAAACCATTCTCTGAATTTCTGAATTTGGAGTGGACTGAGATTATGAGGCATGTTCCAACTAGGTGGCTGTCATTAACACCAGCCATTTCTCGACTGCTTCAGAACTGGGAAGCAATGACAAGTTACTTCAATAGTATTCCCAACTGTCCAAAATTATTATCTAATATTTTCATGAAAGATGACCCAGAGGAAGCAGTGTTGCCTGAAATCTACTTTAATTTCTTAAGTAATATTGGAAGTCAGCTGAAAATGGTAGGTAAAACACTGGAAAGGTCTGACTTAAGTGCACTAGAGACTTAAGAACAAATGAAACTTCTCAGTTCTAAAATCCAGCAGAGAAGGAAAGACAGCTTTTTGGTAGCAAAGCAAAAGAACTCATTAATGGATTGTCTGTGCCATTACAGAAAAAGGTTACTGAAGACCTGAACAGCTTTTATAGCAATATGCTTCAGTATCTGCAAAAAATATATGTGACAGATGACAATCCCTATGCATCCCTTGCAGCATTTTCTCTACAGGAAGGGATTGAGTTCAAAGATTTTGAAAAAGCCATAGAAGTGTTTCAGCTAAGTGAAAATGTTTGCATTGATGACCTGTATGAGGAGTTCAGCAGCCATTGAGATTACCTCTGCAACAGTGTGAACAGATATTGTGATTATGTAGCAAACATAACCTTGCCACAAGCAAGGTTATCCAGCTATCAAAAAGGGGTTTATTATATGGGCATTAAGACTTACAATCTGCTTCCATCCTCATTAAAGGATCTAGTAAACAAGAAGAAACAGTTTAAATTAGCTTTAAAGAGATATCTTTTGGAGAAATCCTATTACTCACTACGGGAGTTATTTGATGGGTGAATGGGGTGATTTTCACCCCTTTGCATATTGAAGTCCTGTATAGAAGGCATACTAGGAAGTGGGATGTCTTATTACATTTTGTTGTATGCATTGTGGGCTGATTGGTGGGGCTGGTACATGTAGGACGGTTTACAGTACTATTGTTATGCATCATGATTCTGGGAATGTATTGTATAGACCAGTGGTTGGTATAACCAATTTGTTGGATGTGAAGTGTGGTCATAGGTTGTTTCTTTGGTATACTGTAGCTTTTAAGTGATGGTTGTGACACTTTCCTCAGGGTAATTAGTTTTTTGTTTTTTTTTTTTACTTCATGTTAAAGTCATTGTTGAATACATATGTTACTGGTACTTTTAATTTATGGTTTTATCTTATTGTATTTAAATGAAATTTTAATAATGTGTGTACTGTATCATATATCGTTCTTATCGGGTATTTTGACTCTGTTCCAATGATTGGGAACTTAGACTAGTATTTACTTTGTGACACGTTCTATATCCAACAGTTTGTACTTTCAACTCATGTATGGATCAACTGAACTTGAAATAAATATGAATATGAATGAATATGAACTGGCTTTCTTCAGTACCTGAGCATGATGTACCAAATATTTCCAAAGTGGTAGGATTTTTGTTTAGCATCCCTGGCTCAAATGCTTTTGTGGAGCAAATCATTTCATTCATGAAAAGTAAGTGGAGTGACACAAGAAACAGATGCTCAACAGATTTAATCAAGGCAGAACTCCAGATGACAGTGAACTATGAAAGCAAGTCCTGTTCAGAATTTTATAAATTTTAAAAGGGTGATGTTCAATTATTAAAAAGTGCTAAGAGTTCAGTGAAATACAATTAACAGAATCTGATCAACCAGCCTTTGAAAGTTATAAATATGTAGTATTTAATATTTGTGTGTTCTACAAATATGTGCTAGGTAATATTTTGTGCATTCTATAAATATGTAATAGGGCTATGTAATATTTGTTTTGTTCTATAAATGTGTAGTAGGCCTATGTAATACAGATGTTCAGTAGCATTTTGTAAATTATGTAGTATGTTGATTATGTATATTTTATAGCCTATTAGTTGTGAAAAATGTCATTATAAACAGGCAACGAGACATCATTCCTTTTTTTATTTTACAAAATCTGGCAACCCTACTTACAACTAACATAGTATTTTTAGTCAACTTTCCTTTTTTTTAACTCTTTGCATACCATGTGCTAATTAGATTGGATCATGGTATTGTGCTAAAACTGCCAGTGCAATGTTAATCAATTAGTACAGTATTTTTGTCAAAAGATGGCACCAAATGTGACATACTGATGTTCAGAAAAAAAAAGGTCGACTCGCAGGCAAAGCTAGCAATTAAAGAAGGCAGAGATAGCCAACTACTACTACCCGTGGCTGATCTTAAAACCGAGTGGAAAATGAAAGGGAAAGAAGAACTCCACAGCTTTTGTCAAAACACCAAACAAGAAAGGGGAGAACGCTACTTTGAAAGGTACTATAGGAAAGGCTCTACTCCGTGGTTTAGTCAGATAAAAATGAACCGCCGTGCCTTCGTGTCAATAAACCGTATGCGAGCAGGACATACCAGTCTTAAAGTAAGTCTAAACAGATTTAACATTGTGCCCACGGCCGAATGTGAATGTGGTGACGGGTTGCAAACGGAGGAACATATTTTCTGGGATTGCAAACAGTGTGACGACCAAAGGGCAATAATGATGGGCATCCTCTCCGAGAACAGTAAAAAGAACTACCCAAAATCAGTCACAGAGCTCTTGAGGCTAGAAGAAAAGAGATTTCTGCAAGGCGTCTGCTACTTCATAAACAACATTCCCATATATATTTAAAACGGATACGTAAGGAAAGAACAAGAGGAAATGGCACGGACCACTCATAACATTCTCAAATTTAGGCTAAGATGTGAATTAACCGCGGGCCCACCGCTACTACAGAAAGAGAAGTTTTTAGAATGTGCTACAGAAGGCCGGATGGGCATTGCCTAGGCCACTTTTGTATCCTAGTTTTTTTACCCAATAAAAATAAATTCAGAAAAAAAAAAAAGACTTTCATGATCTGTATCTGTGGTCATTTGAAGTCATCTGACAAAGTGTTGTGGGCTTTTCTGTGCAAATGTATTTACACCAAAGAAACCATCTAGTGAAGCTTGGCAATCACAATGTGTTAAAGAATGGAAGTAGGCTTATGAGATCACTCCTTTCAACTTTTGAACCACCTCATCAGTTTTCACAAAAGCTGATATGTACATTTTTCCATTTAAAGTTACCTTATCATACCCTTTAACATGCCACACACATTCACATTCCATCATCAGGAAATGTAAACAGTACAAGTGTCAGATTCTAGTCCACCTAAGAAATACAATATGATCACACATTCTCTCAAACTTTTTACACTCTTCTAACACCTAGAGTCAAAGAAAAAGTACAGATATTTTTATTTTATGAAAACATTTGGGAGGGGTTACAACCCATCGGTTAAGAACCACTGTCCTAAGTTGAATGTGTAAGGTGCAATGACAGGCACAGAAGACAGGTCAATTTTCTTTGCTGAAAGACAGTCAACACCGTGTGGCAGTCACTGAACACATGGTCTCCAGATATCTGGAAGGAGAGAGCAGGTCCATTTTCCCCCCCCTCCAACTGATGCCAAATACATTAGATTTCTTTTAAGGGCTATGAATTGAAGACTACACTGGATGTACACCAACTGACATAATTCTTATCAAAATAATACATCTAAAATAAAAAGAATTGTACATTGTTTTGTTGTTCCCACTTTAAATGGACGTTTACATTTGAAATATCAGCATTCATTCATGAAGAACCTGTACTTTGGAATATGATTTGTATGCCTTCTGTGCATTAACTTTTAATTACAGATAAATTTAGGTATTAATTAGGCTAACGAAAGCTTTCCTAAATGTCTAACACTAGGAATATGCAAGATGTACAGTTACAGTTGGACTCATTCATTAAACAGTGATGAATATTTGTTTCCAGAAATTAAAATGAAGGAACTTATGTTGAAATACAAATAAGTTTCAAAGACATAAGAGACTGCACCTATGTCTGAAAATCAAATTAATATTTTCCAATATGCATGCATAGGTGGAGGGCAGGTGAGCTGTGTTCAACAGACACTACACTTACATATGCTACTAGTGAATTTGGAAATGTGACAGTGTCATCAGTCCCTTCTCTTCTGTGATACTCATTTTGGGTTCAGTAATTGGCCCGAGCAGGTCACTTAAACACACCCATTATCAGAAAAGAGAGGTTTTCTCCTTCATAATGTGACAATAGCATAATCTTGACCTGCTCCATTCACAGCTTGGTGTTGCCAGTTTTCCGTCCAGTGAATAGACTTAGAAATATCGCTCCTGTTACGTTGTTTTTAGTTAAGTTTAGGCATAATGTCGACTAGAAGTATCGCTAACCAGCAATAAGTGAAGCATATGAGAGGACAATAACCGTGACAGCAGAAACATTGAAACCCGATACGCAAACTATTCTACTGTAGATTACAATGAAAATACCTGTTCTTCATTTAGAACATTTTATTCCTGCAGTTAATATTTCAGCTTTTTGAGTCATTCAGATCCACAGTTTCTCACTTAACATTCCTAAAAAGTGGTTTATGTTAAGAGAGGGGAAACGTGCGTCACATAATACAAAATGTAGGAAGTAGGATCACTCAAAATTAGTTGTTGATCTGAGGTGATGTAACATACACATATTGCTTTCCACCTCCAAACAGTGGTTTTCATCCTCCTGGTACTTGCCTGTCTGGCAAGAGTCAACAGTCAGTTTCTGTAGTAGAAAGGTCCTTAGGGCAGGATTCTGAACCATGGTTGGGACCTGGTATACCCTGCATTCACAAACTTTGCCTCTGTCAGAGATAAAGAATGAGGATACATCTGCAATGGATCTGGCCAGTCTCAAACATGATACCTCTGATATGGGAGTCCAGTATCCTTAGAACAGGGCTAGGAAATTTCTGGGGACAGTATACCTGTGTGAGTAAAAATTTAATGCTGGTGCCCATAACTGCACGTGACACAATGGAATAATTTTTTTTAAGATCATCAAATTTGATTATTAGCAGACACAGAAGATCCATAGAGCAAAAATCCAAATTGGGAAGTTGATAGTCATTCAACTGCTTAAGAAATTTCCCATTTTTTATAGATCCCAAAGCCCATTACTGTTCTCACAAGAGCCTGTTGATGGACCCTATCCTGAGCCAATTAAAAAGCAGTCTGCACCTTCACATACAATTTCCTGAAGATCCATTTTAATATCATCCTCCCTGCTCTCCTCCTTTTAGGTTTTCGGATAATTATGAAAGCAATACATACAAAATTAAATTTTAAGAACAAATTTAAGGCTTCACCATGAACAGAGACCAAAAAATGATGGTGATGAATGGTTGCATATAAATTCTAACAAGCGTCTTTTCAAGTGATCAGCTAAGCTGATACAGAACACAAGTGAAACATTTCTGAAACAAGGAAATCTCCAAAATGTCAGAATTCTACTTGGTATCAGCGTGGCTGACTATCCCAAGACTTCATTTTCGAATGGTTAACAGATCTGCTTGGCCACTAAGTACTTTTGGTTATCTCCTAAAATATTATTAGATTTGTCCACCCTATGTTAAAGAGCCAGGTTTCCATTAGTTTGAACAGCAAGTGTAATTGTTTTATTGAATTGCCCTCATATGGAATCCAAGCATTGGTGATTACCATGCTTATCACACTTTCCATATTCTTTATGTAACATGAATACATCAGTTTAACTGAAACTGATAACATACATACAGACACATAATTCCATTACTTTACTACATTTGTGCATTCAATTATCAATTGTCCTATATTCTTCCATTACATACATCAAGTTAAGTTAATATTTTAAGTTAGATGTTTCAATATTTCTTTTTAATACTTTCATGGTTTCAAAAATGCATCTAATCAATCACTAGTCATTTTGAATGATGCAATTTAATAGTCCACCAGAAGCATCTGTTCCTCCTTTGACCACACCATATCAAACTGCACTACAACAGAGGCAATTCATCTATTACTCCTCCGAGAGGTTCGCAGATCTTTCTCAATCTGAAACTGTCGCAGGTCTGTCCTCTGCAAGAAGTCTTGCCTCTCCAAATATCTGCAAATTTTGATAAAAACAACTGACTTAAAATCAGAATGTGCTGCAAAATACCAAGGAAGAAACAGAATCTCAATGAATGTTCTCACATCATGGAATACAAGCAGGCTTCCTAGCAAAACTGTAACTTCAAGGCATTTCCTTCCACTCATCAAAAAAACAGCTGTATAATATAAAAGGAAATATGACAATAACAGCAATATAAGAACAAAAGAATAATATATCTTGAAGCAAAAAAATGTAATAACCCTATAACAGCCACCTACTATAAGAACTATTGTAAAATATTAAACAAAGTGATAAATCTAGCTAAGAAGATGACATATGATAATCAAATTAAATATTCAAAAAATAAAGCTACAACCACTTGGAGAATAATAAATAGTGAATTGTTAAAGAAAGGATATAGAGACATTATTCAAACCTTGGACATTGAAGGTAAAAAGAATACTAACTTGAATGATATTGTTGAAACATTTAATAGGTACTTTAGTGGTATAGCGGATAATGGACATAAATACATAAAAGGAAATGGTAAAACTACTAATTATATGACATACTTGACTGATGCATTTAAGAATCCATTACCTAGCACAAAAATTATAAAAACTACGAGTAGGGAAATAGAAAGGATTATATGGTCCCTAAAATCTAGTCAAACCCATGGATATGATGAAATTTCGAATAATATACTCAAAGCCTGTAAAACCTATATTAGCGAACCGATAAGTTACTTATGTAACAGAACTATGCATGAGGGTATTTTCCCAGACAGACTAAAATATGCTACAATTATGCCAATATACAAAAAAGGTGATAAAAATCTAGAATCAAATTACAGACCTATATCCATATTGACATCTATTAGTAAGATTTTTGAAAAGGTAATATATAGTAGATTGTTAAAACATTTGAATGATAATAGTATATTAAATAAATACCAATTTGGATTTAGAGAAAAGCAAGGGACTGAAAATGCAATTTATAGACTTATCTCTGGAATACTAGACTCTTTAGATAAAAAAATGCAAGTCTCTGGGATCTTCTGTGACTTAGAAAAGGCTTTCGATTGTGTTAGCCATGATATATTATTGGATAAATTGAGGTATTATGGAATAAAAGACAAACAATACGACCTATATAAGTCATATCTACTGGATAGAAAACAGAGAACTGATATTTCCAATGGGACAAACAGTAATAAAGTATACTCACAATGGGTTAAAGTAACTAATGGTGTCCTGCAAGGGTCGATACTAAGACCACTGTTGTTTATAATATATATAAGTGACTTGCCCAAGATTCCAGAAACTAAGAGTATTCCAATTCTATTTGCTGATGATGCCAGTTTCTTAATCTCTCAAGACAATCCAATAAAACTTAAAAATACAATAAATGAAGTATATAGAATATTGGAGGACTGGTTTAAACAAAATTTAATGTCACTGAATTTATTGAAAACATATTACATAAACTTCACTGTAAAACATAACGTAATTTAGATAGAGAAATGGGAGGCATAGGAACGATTTTATTAAACACAAATTAAATTAAATTTCTTGGCCTGACTATCCAAAATTATATAACTTGGGATAGACATACAGATGAGATAATAAAGAAATTAAACACAGCCTGTTATATGATAAGAAATGTTAAAACCAGTGGTGTCTGTAAAAACATTAAAAAGTATTCATTATGCATACTTCCATTCTATTATGACATATGGAGTTTTTGAGATACAAAAGAGCGCTATAAGAATAATAAATGGATGTGGTTTCAGAGAGTCATGCAGAGAACTGTTTAAGAATATGAATATATTCCCTTTAAGAACACAGTATATATACTCTCTTCTGATGTTTGTAGTAAAAAACAAAAAAAAAATATTTGATACAAATAGGGATTGCTATGATATAAACACTAGACATAATATGGACATACATATGAGCCAGGTAAATTTGGCGAAATATGGTAATAGGGTAACTCACATGGCCGTAAGGATTTACAATGCACTACCTCAGTGGTGGACAAACTATGGCCCGTGGGCCAGACGCGGCCCCCTGATAGGTTCTATCCAGCCCGCGAAATGATTCATAATCTGACGAATGAAGAGAAGAAGAATTAAGGAAAATAAATAATTCTGGATTATTTTCTTCTTCTTTCCTCCCTTTTATGTTTAGCCTAGTGACCACAGATTAATTTATTTACTTATCCACTATGGGGTATTGGAATGCTATGTTAACATTTGAGAGTGAGGCACTGGCTGCTGGCATTTTTGTAGCGAAGAGTAAAACTGGCAACGGAGCCTCCTCGCTGTACCCCCTCCACATTACATCCACTGCAGCTGGCTACTAACACCACATTCTTTTATTCAGACCCGGTCGCACTATTGCTGTAGGTGTTTGCTAGTTTTACTGTGCACATTCGTGAAACATTTCAGCCCTAAGATGTCAACTAAAAAACGTAAAGTTGATTCAGAGTGCCGTGTTTTCAAAGATGAATGGACTTGGAAGTACTTTTTCACAGCTTTTAAGGATAAACCACTGTGTCTTATCTGCAATGAAACCATAGCAGTCTACAAAGAATACAACATTTCCCGGCACTTCATCTCTAAGCATAAGAATGCTAATTATGGAGCCATGACCGAAGATGAAAGGAAACAAAAAGCAGAAGACCTACGTAAAAAACTGTCAGGTCAGCAAAGTATTTTTAAGAAAGTAAATAGTTCTCAGAAAGCAGCTACACATGCAGGTTATGTTGTAGCATACAATATTGCTAAAAGTAACAAAGCTCTCTCTGATGGGGAGTTTGTTAAACACTGCATGCTCAAAGTTTGTGATATTTTATGTCCTGACAAGACAAAGGATTTTGAAACTGTAAGCTTATCTCGAAAAACAGTGATTTCTAGAATCGAAGTCATAGATAAAAACATATTATCACAGTTGGAATCAAGGATTGGTCAATTTAAATTCTGCTCCATTACTATGGATGAAAGCACTGATATAAATGATACTGCACAGTTGCTATTATTTATAAGAGGTGTTGACGAAAACTTCTCTATTACAGAGGAATTAGCATGCATGCGGTCGTTAAAGGGAACTACAACAGGGTCAGATATTTTTCATGAATTTCTGGAAGGCCTTTCAACTTTGAAAGTACCTATAACTAGCATATGCAGTATTACGACAGATGGAGCACAAAGTATGACAGGGACAAAATCTGGATTTGTTGGGATCTTTAATCAAGAATATCCCGAGAACAATGTTGTATTTCTGCATTGCGTCATACATCAAGACGCCCTGTGTAAATCTGCCTTGGATATGAAACCTGTGCTTGATGTCGTTGTGAAGCTTGTTAATGCCATTCGATCTCGAGGGCTTACTCACAGACAATTTCGAGAGTTTCTTGACTCCATGCAATCTGAATACTCTGATTTACTTTACTACTCGAAAGTAAGGTGGCTTAGCGCGGGACGCGTCTTCGAGCGAGTTTGGCAGCTGAAAGACGAAATAGTGTCATTCTTCCAAGAGAAACAGTGGTCTGTAGAATGTGAAATGCTGGAAGATACTGCATGGCTTTCGGACTTTGCATTTTTCACAGATCTTCTCTGCCACCTGAACAAGTTGAATGTCAAGATGCAAGGAAAAAATCAATTTATTGATGATATCTGGGGCCATATCAGAAGTTTTAAACTACAACTTGTTCTGTTTGCAGATCAGCTAGCTAAGAATGACTTGTCTCACTTCCCGAGGTTAAATTCAATAGCCCCAGTGATGAAGGACAAGCTTAGGAGCTACGAGGATAGCCTGAGAAGACTCCGTGGTGAATTTGAACGAAGATTTCAAGACTTCAGTGCCATTGAAAAAGACTTGGATGTTTTCAGTATGCCTTTTAATGTAGACTGTGAAACAGTGAAACCGGACTTGCAACTTGAATTAATTGAGTTGCAATGTAACACTCAACCCAAACAGTTGTTTCTCAATGTTCCAAAATTAGAGTTCTACAAGTCCTTGTCGAAATCCAGTTTCCCAAATCTGATATCTCATGCCCAGAAAGTCACTGCTATGTTTGCTTCATCCTATATATGTGAACAGGTGTTTTCTACAGTGAAACTTCGAAAGAGTTGTATTAGAAACAGACTGACAGATGAGCATTTAACTTCACTTCTGAGAATCAGTGCATCCCAGTTTGAACCAGATTTTGAGAAAATTTTGGAAATGCAGTCACAGTTTCATTCATCACATTCTCCTTCATAATCTTTCAATCATTAATAGGGCTTAGTATTACAAGAATTTTGTAAAATCTACCATTATTGTTTTTAATAAATTATATTGGCCCGCCTAAAGTTTTTTCTTTTTTCTTTGGCCCCCTCCTAAAAAAGTTTGCCCATCACTGCACTACCTAATAAAATTAAAGCAACTTCTAACGATATAAATAAGTTCAAAAACAATTTAAAGGAATTTCTTTATTTAAATTCTTTTTATACACTTGATGAATATTTTAAGAGATAATGATTTTTACAACTATATAAGTGTATAAGATGTTGAGTAATACAATAAATTAATAATCATCATGAATATGAGATAATCACACTTATAATTGAATGTTTTTATATGTTGGATTTGTTATATATGTTAAACCTATATGACTAAAATATTGTTACTTTGACGGAAGCTTTGATCTTAAAATTTTATTTTAAATGACAATTTTAGTGTATTGTACTAGAAAGTAGTTGTATGTGATATTTGTCATATACAATAGGTCTTTTTAACAATTGCTTGATAGCATTGACAAGATAAAATAAACTGTTTGGATGATATGGCTTGCCAGTATGTGTGGAGTGGCAGGTTGTGGGTTTGACAGTGCTTTTCCTGCCACCTGTGTGTGTTGTCCTGACAGCTTGGGTTGTCTGTGTGAGGCCTGATTACATGTTTTATTGGACTGGGGACGAGTAATGTGTGGTCATCATGAAATTGTAATTTTGTATTTTTATAAATGTTATGTTTTTATATCTTGGATTTGTTATATATGTTTAAGCTATATGACCAAAATATTCCGTTACCTTTGATGGAAACTTTTAACTTAAATTTTAATGTATTATGCTAGAGAGAAATTGTATTATGATGTAAACATACATTGTCTTATTTTATAAGTCTTCTTGACAATTGCTTAAGAGTATTAGCAAGATAAATTGACACAATTCTGTATCTAAGGCTTTTGCCTACTATAGATGTAATGGAATAAGGAAGAAATAATAATAATAAAACTGAAAATGAATCTGACCCCCCCCCAAAAAAAAAACAATCTAGCACTTCTGTGACTTTAAATTGGGACCTAACTGTCTGGCTACATAACATTACTGTAATATGCGTAAGGGCTGAAATTCTACAATGGATGATCATCTACCCAAATGTCAAGTGATGCCTATTTCATTTAAGTGCTGATTTACACTCACAACCAAGCACCACTGAGACGAAAGGAAGCCTACAGAAGATGACTCAAGCATTAGCAGAAACAAATCATACACTACACAGATTTACAATCTATCAAGACCTTCAAAGTGCTGGTTCATTGTATCTTAATTACATATACTACAGAGACCAGGACCATAAACTACAGTGAAGCAACATACCAGACAATATTATCTCTAAGGCCGTGCCACAGCTTAAGCGGTTAGTCGCTGGCTTCCCACCGAGGCGGTCTGGTCCAGTGGGATTTGTGATGGACAAAGTGGCACTGGGGCAGGTTTTCTCCGAGTACTTCGGTTTCCCCTGCCAATCTTCATTCCATCAAACTCTCCATAACCATAACCACCCAGGATATATATCATTCGAATCATAATTTTATTATCTTTGTATACTATTATATCATTGTGTTATATATTGTATTATTATTATTATTATTATTATTATTATTATTATTATTATTACTATTATTATTATTACTTATTGTATTGTAAAGTATTTGACTTGTCCTATATCATGTACAATGATCCATGGATATGATATGAAATAAATAAATAAATAAATATATATTTCTATATATATATATGACTTAAGACAGATGGAGACTTTGAGTATTGTCAAGAATAAGAGACTTCGGTGATGTCCAGGAGTGTCTAAGAGACACAGAATGATTTTTTAATATACTCGTAAATGGAACATAATTTGCACTTGTGTTTGAGACTGCAGAGCTTAAAGCCATAATTTCTCAACACGAGTAGTTATACATGAAGTATACTAATAATTAGAACTGAAACCACCCTTGAATAAGATGATTCAAATAACTAAACTAAGCCAATAAACATTCTTCTGAAGCTGGGATGGACCACAGCAGTGCGGTAAACAAATTTCATACATTACAAGAAACATGTAATAATGAATTACAAAAATTAATTCTGTACATTAATTTATAAAAATGAAGATGGGCAGGTTCAAAGAGTCTCATTTCACAACTAGCCAGCTTGGGGTGAAACTGCCTGTTTGGTTTTGACATTGTAATGACAAGATCAACATGAAATATATATAAAGGGAACAGACAAGATTATCACAGACTAGGTCATGTAAAATTTCTTTCTTAAGTTCCACATAAATCTACATTTAAATTCCCTATGATTTTATTAATGATTACTATCTGTCAACTCATATTACTTATCCCGTGTGATGTACAGCATTTTTACTGCTGCATGTAATCCTACAGGATTGCAAGAATTTGATTCTTTGTTAAAACTGAGTAACACAAAGAGATCTCTGTGTAGAAGATAAGCGGCAGAATAACTGGGTATCTGGACTTGGAATTCTGCATGGGAATGCCATCTTCAATTATATATGAGAGAAAACAAGATTCTAATCATTGGCAAGTTTACCAAGTCATGCCTCAAGGGGTCAGGCAGTTCACTGGCAGAGAAAAGAGCTAAATGGCATATTGCATTGCCTGGCAACTACAGGACTAACAACATGGTCATACTCACCCAGCCTTCCCCTTGTTGTGCTTCTGAAGTTCTTCTTCTATTCCTTCATCTTTTTTGTAACGATCCCAATCCAATTTTGATTTCTCCAGAGTTCCCAACTTTGACTTTTTCCCTAGCTGACCAAGAACTGATGACAACCCTTTCAAGCCACTACGGCCACCCCTTCCTCCACCTGCTCCTTGATTAACTGCAGAAGCTGATGTTGGCTTAGTTGATAATCTGGCTTCAGCAGAGTCTGCGGCTACCTCTTTCGTCACTCTGAAAAAGACATGAAACTCTGCACATGCATAAAATTGATTTTTAATAAATCCATTACTAAATCTCCAATGTTGTGGAACACCAAAGATGATCACCAAAACAATACAAAAGTCTGAATCAAAAGTGTATCACAACAAAAGCCATTAAGATTATTTGAAACTTGCTTTTCTGGGTTGAGACTGTATGTCACAACCCAGAAGGCCACACTCTGAACATTTACTTCCATAAATGCCTCAAAACTTGTATTCTTTGAGATTAATTTTAATGCATGTCTCACATTTGTTCCTGAAGGTTTCCCCTTATCTCACTGAAGTATGTACAGTGTAATCATCTGGGGGGAAGCTTCCCACAAACTACTGAATCTCTCAGGCACAAGAATCTGATGCCTGTCCCACAGTTGCACTACACAGATCCAGCCTGACAAAAACTGATAAGCCTATAGCTCAAGAAAATAAAGCTTACTGGAGTAGCCGGGATACTGCAGTCGGTATAGTGACTGGCTATGGGCCAGAGTTCGAGTCCTGGTATGGTCAAGAATTTTCTCTTCTCCGCAGTGTCCAGACCGGCTCAGGGGCCCACCCTGTCTCCTATCCAGTGGGTACCAGGGGTTCTTTCCCCGGCGGTAAAGCGGCCGGGGTGTGAAGCTGACTACTCACCTCCAACTAGTGCTGAGGTGAAGTATACATGGACCCCTACAGCCACTCACCTATATGTTTTCATGGCAGAGTGCTTAATTAGTTAAGCACAGGGATAACTTTACCTTTTTAACCAGATTACATTAGATGTTGTAAATGTCTTCTGCTGTTGTGTATTTATTCCTGGCACCTCCTCAAAAATGTTTATATTCATGCACAGTTCTTTCTTAGAAACACAGTAAACTTGAAAGCCGAAACCCTGGTGTCCTGTGTAGAATGCATAAGGGATTTTTAAGGAGAATGTTCAAGCTCAGCAGCTAGGTCTTCTGAGTTAACACACAATGTTTTAATTTGTCTTTTGTGTATGGAAATGATGACTGTCTCTGTGGTCTAGTGGTCAGAGTTCTTGGCTACAGACCCAGAGGTCCGGGTTCGATTCCCGGCGCTACCAGATTTTCTGAGAAGTAGTGGGTCTGGAACAGGGACCACTCAGCCTTGTTCAGATAACAGAGGAGCTATTTCTAGGAAATAGTAGCTCCGTTCTACAAAACCGAAATTAACAGCTGTGGGGATTCGTTGTGCTGCAAATGGAGCAGTGTTTTGGTGTCTAAAAATTACAAGGTGTGGCAATAAAGAAACCGGATTCATGCTCTAACCCTTTATTAAAAAAAAATCAGACAGTCGAAATGTTATCCCCTTCAATGTAGTCC